TGCAGAATTACAAGTTCAAGGCCAGCCTCAGCAAGAAGACCCTGTCTCAAAATAAAATGGGATGTAGCTCAGTGGTAGAGTTTTACCTACCATGCAAGAGGTTTGACCACTAAAGAAGCATAGAATTCCAATGGAAGATATCGCAATCATATAAAGTTACTAAATTTCATTTATTTTTATAACTTATTCTTTTATTTTAAAAATTTTATTCTAGACATAGCATCTCTCTTCACATTTCTTCTTTGGCCCAAACTTTGATAAATTTTGTATAGGATCAAATGATCCTATAACTAAAGTGGCATTTCTTTTTTTTCTTTTTTTTAGAAAAAAAAAATTGTAGTTTAAAAAGCAGTTAAACATAGAAACACACTAGGGAAAATTCAGAAATGGAACATAGTATGGGTGACTATTTTGAAAATCTCTGGGAAGCAGATTTTTTTTTCCTGCCCAAATCCTCCTTTAATGAGAAAAATCTGTTCTCTTTTAAAATCCTGCTCAGCTCGCTGGTCACTTTGAATGGGATTTGGGGACCGTTTGGTCTTTCTCTCTTGGAAACTCTCTCAAACGTGAACTTTAAGACAGGAGACCTTTGGAAACTCCTCTGTGGTGAGATCCCCACGCCCATCTGTTCTCTCCCGTGGGATTCCGAGCGTCTCGGCGGCGGTGCAGTGGCGCGGCGCGGCCGCGAGGGGGCGCCGTCCCGCGCGCTCACCCTGCCTGTCACGGGGGAACCGCAGCAGCCCACGGTGTTTTCCCGAGAGGCAGAAACAGAACCTCGTTCTTGTCACAGCTGAAAAATGGGATGCAGAATTTACGTAGAATTCTGAAAATATGTTTTATCTCCGTTGTCAGTAACCCTCAGCGGACCAACTTTTACTTTTGTTCGTTCACTAATTTCCCTACGAACAGATCGCGCCAGGTCTATTCTAGCCGTCAATCAAAGGGTAATTTCCCCTGTTTGTTGCCATAGCACCCACAGCCTGCCATCCTCCGCTGCCTCTGTTTTCCTGATCTCGGCTCCCTCTTACAGGTAAGCCATCAAGGAGTCCTCTGGGGACTCGAGATGGAGGCGAGGAGGCTGGAGAGGGAAACCCACGTAATTACCCGGTGACGGCTGAGCCCAGAGCCACCCACGCCCTCGCTCTGCAGAGGGAGACGAGCTGCGACCCCGGTGCATGGAGAGCTGGGGCCCGAGCTGAGCCCACCCACCTGCAGCCCTGCAGCCGGCCGGCCCCACACCGACTCAGGGGTCCTGCCCCCCCMCCCCCCCCCCGAACTTCCCCCTGATTAACCTTCCACCCCTCCYTTATGATGAGGAGGTTTTCTTCTTTAACTGAGAAACCATAGAGATGGCAGGTTCAGTGTCTTTCCTTTTTCTCCTAAAACAGAATCAGAATGAAGCATTGGAGGCTGTGCCCTTGCCACCTGGGTTTGGTCATGAGCTTCTGTGACACCCTGGATCAAAGGCACTGTTCATCCTCAGAGGTCCCCTCTTAATAAGTTATGGGTTTACTGAGGATCACAGTCTCATATAGTAATGGATGACCAAAATAAATTTTGAACTTGGACATTTAGCACATGGGTCTGTCACATACACATTATAAAGAAAGGGTACAGTGAATGTTGAATTTAATAACAGGTACCAAAATTATGAATAAAACTTGTTTATTTAGAGAGATTTTATCTGGTCTGAATCTTCTAGTTCACTAATAGCAGTTGCTGAGATTCACTTTTGTAAATGATAGAAGTTTCCAGTATCAGTATGTCTCATAAAACAACATGAAGAAGAACTTGGGGTCCCTCCAATGACATATCCCTAAAAGGCTGGGTACAGAGTACTTTGAGGAGAAGTGGTCACAGTACCACTGGTTTGTCACAAAGGAGAAGCACCTTGAACAAGATTGTTCATCACTTGTACCTGACAGTGACACTTACAATTATGCCCTCACTCAATAGTGGGGACATTGACAAAAGGAATAAGTTGAGAGTCCTCAGCATCAAACAGGGCACTGTCTCTCCCAGGAGCTGCCAATCCTGTGCATTTTAGATAGTGAGGAAATGGCTGAAGTGAATGTGTTGAATTTGAAGAAAACTGCAACCATGCCTTCAACCCTTGATGATAAATGCTAATTTTCAGTATAATACCTCACTTACTTTTTTGTGTTATTAAAAAAAAAAAAAATTACCAGAGGCAAAGATTAAGATGAGCTTGACGCACTCCTCCTCCTGGCATGTGTGGGACGTGTTTGATGGCTGCCACAGAGCMGGGTTTAGTGAAGGGGCTACTGCTGGTGCGTAGGCCCTGCTGCCATGAGCCGCCACCCAGGTGGCCTGGGATGTCAGCAGCCAGCTGGGAGTGGGGAAGGTCGTCCCCCTGTGTGGAGTCTGCTCGTTGGTGGGTAGGGAAGATGATTCCCTCAGTGTGCACTAAGGAGCCTGCRGTGGCTCATGCTCCCTCCACTCATACTCAGAAGACCAGGTAGCCCAGCCTTTGAGCACACTAGGAAGAGGAACCTCTGAAAAATGTGMGACTTGGAGTTTGGGACCGAATGCTGAGCACAGGGTGCTCCTCCAGCCAGCCCTGCTGCATCTCTGAGCTGACTTCTTCCAGCCGAAGCCTGTTCTCTGGGGACCCTCCTGCATTTGGCAAGGTAGCAGGGCACAGAGGAGCACTCATCAGGGACAGCCCCGGACCCTGGGGAGACGATATGATCCTGTGTGGTCACAGAATCTCCAGAGGCCTGGCCATCTCCAGGAAGGAAGACCAGTCTGAAAACATGATCTTTCCTGTCCAAGACTTCCACAGAACTTCAGGGCAACATGCATGCGGCATTGACTGTGCAGCTCCAATGGCTCAGTAATGAAGCCACGTGGAGAGTGGGGGAAGAACAGCAAAGTCCCAGAGGCTCCTAGAGGCAGAGCCCTGGTGGCCTCCCACGGAGATGAAGGAGGCACTGTGTCCTGAGCCAGCCACACAGCTCTCTCTTCCTGTGGGGTTCCTTAACAATGTGATTATGGAGAGGAAGTTTTTACAAACTTAAAAACAATTAAAAATACCAGGTGTGCTCTGGCCCACGTTGTGTGGAGGGAAACGCAATCCTGACTTTCCCTTTCTGGTGGCCTTGAAAGTCTGAGAAAGGAGGTTAACATCCAAGTGCATCTTTGAGAGCCACAGATCTGGATGAAGATGAGGAGACAATGGAGGATAAACAGCATGGCCGACACCCCTGCCTGGGCTCGTGTCCACATTGAGAACCAGGTGCAGGCTGCCAACCTTCTGCAGGAAAAAGCCACATTCGTGCCTGTGACAGCAGACAGCATTCCACAAGACACCGTGCCTTTCCCCAAAGTCCTAGTACCGCTGACACCTCCCTGGCCCATAGTTAAAAACTGAGGGCCACAAATTTTGACAGTGGTTCATGGGAAGTTCCATGTAAACCTCAAGATAAATTGAAAATTGCCTGTGCCTGGTGAAATTTATCTCAGAAGGCAAGAAGATAATATTGTAAGGGGGGAAAAAGGGAAAGATGTTAGTTTCCTTCTTCTTCCTCCCTCCCTCCCTCCCTTCCTCTTTCCCTCCCTCCCTTCCTCTTTCCCTCCCTCCCTCCCTCTCCTTCTCTCTCCCTTCTCTCTCTTTTCTCATTTTCTCCCCAACAGAGAAGGAACATAAAAAATGATCTAAGCATCAAATCCGTAGAATAACAAGAACAACTGCTAAACCATTTGACATTTCAAAGATCACCATCTTGGTTACAAGGGCATTTGCCAATCTGTGTTGTTGGGTACTCTTCTCATCTGTGACCCTTAGAGCAAACTGGCATGGGTTGGGAAGGGCTATTGCTCTTGCTGATGTGCTAGGAAGGGTAGTGTCACAGGAAGAATGCATGAGAGAAAGAGCAGCCCACATCTCCTCACCTACAGCCAGGGGTCCTTCCCCCCAGGATGACATGAGACACCCGTCCATTCCTCCAGGCAGGCCTTAGGAGGAGAACTGCAGGGCTGTCTCTTGCTGGCTTGTCACTTGCACTTAGAACAATATGGCTAATGCACAAGAGATCTGGAAATAATATGATGGATTTCAAATTTGCATCTCAATATCACTGTGTTTAAGAGGAGTTTCCTAAAATCTAAGATAAGAATAGAGTTTTCATGTTTGTCTACTCTCACAATAGTGTTTTATCCTTAAAACTTGAAAACTAGACATAGTATGTATGAATCAAGACATGTAGTTACAAGGATATTATGTTTTCCAACTGTAAGAGAATACAGAGAAACAACTTGGATTTTCACTTCACTCTGGCCAAATATCTCGTTCTCAATGTAGAGTCATCATTTATTTTGTCAAAAATGAACCACTTTTGTCCTTTGCATCTTACTCTAAGTTATATAATGCTTATAAATATCCAGACAATGCATGCAATTGCTGGTGTTTCTCCCCCTCTCAGTCCTCCACGGAAACAAGTAAACATTGTTAATGGGAAACATAAACTCAAATTGTATCTGGCACTTGTGCGGCTCTAACACACAAACCGACATACATAACAACTTGTGCAGATATGTTATGCTACTGATACTTAAGATAACATAAAGTTCTCAGAAAATAGACACGGAGACATAAACATGCTAATTTGGAGAAGCATCACCTTAACGGTCTTTCCCCATCATCTGTTCTTACATAATGTAGAGAAAATGCGGGCAGAATCCAGCCCACTCCTAATCACATGTAAGTGTCTCACTATTGCTAACATGTTCCCGGCAGAATTATCCTCTCACAGAGTTCATGACTGTGGACTCAGTGGTAACGTAGACAGTGGAGCATAAACACTGAACAGTGTTCAGATCATGGGTGGGGGGTGCTTTCTGTGCCTCTACCTGGGCAAGCATGGAAAATTACCAGCTGCATCTTCAAGGCTGTATGAGTGGGAGGAAGCAGCAAAGCAAGGAAACATCACAAAAGAAGGAACCCCGAGAGCCGCCGGGCAGAGCAGGCCCACGCCTACCTGTGCAGATGAAACTGGAGAGGCCTCCGTAGATGACTTCATCATTGTCGGGCAGTATAAACGGACACCTTGTCTGAACCTCCAAACAGTATTGCTTGCAAGGAATTGTCTTTCTGCAGTTAAACTGTGTGACTTCAAAATACTGGGAACAGAGCCAGGCTTTGTAGACAATCTGGAAAAAAAAAAAAGAATAAAAAATATGGTGGGGTGATAAGAGCTCTGCCTACAGTAAAGGACATGCTGTACTGCGAGCAGCACGCTGTGGTTTCAAGTGGATCATAAGGAAACCTCATTTCCAGAAAGCATATTTACACAGTGGCAGCTGCATGCGATAAGAGCGTAGCAACCAATTTCTGCAGTAGGAGAAAACAGTCGGCGATTGAGCACTTACCAACTTACTAAGGTGCAAGGCGAATTCTGGCATTTGGTTTACCAGATGCGTGTCTTTGGACAACAGTGGACTTAGTGAAGTTTTCAAACCCAGGGATATATAGGGGAAAAGGCAGAATGACCCTGTGGATAAGCTGTGGCTGTTTACTGCAGTGAGCAAGGTGGCTACTGATTCCCTGGGCCGCGACGCCTCAATSGGACACTAGATGGCGCCAAGGTCCTCAAAGAAGGGCTCCGGCTGCAGAAGCACCGGCTGCTGGCCCGGCTSGCACCTCTGAGGCGCAGAACAGGAAGACAGGGGCATTTACATGGATGACTCACATCAGATGCAGAAAAAAACCTCCTTGGAAGACCGGAAACACTCAACATAGATCAGAAATGACACGCCGTGGTGAGGTCARAAGGAGGGAAACCTCGTCAGAGCCACAGCGTCACCCGTGTAGAGGTTATGTCATCCACGTCAATCTTGGTTCTGTGTTTTGTTTTGGTTTTGATTTTGGTCCCAGGGATTGAACCCAGGGGAGCCACACCACTGAGCCACATCCCTAGCCCCTTTTATTTGTGTGTGTGTGTGTGTGTGTGTGTGTGTGTGTGTGTGTGTTTTGAGACAGGGTTTCTCTGAGTTGCTTGCTAAATTGTTGAAACTGGCCTGGAATTTGCACTCCTCCTGCCTCAGCCTCCCTCCGGAGTCAGAGTCAGGGACACTGGGATTAAAGGCCTGTGACACCACGCCCTTGGCTGTTTGGTGTTTATCTAATTGAATGTGATGCGAAAGGAGTCTGTCTTCATTTTTCTTTGGTTTTTGGTAGCTATTCAGGGAAATATTCATTGGGAAAGATGACTTTTTCCTTACATAAAAATAACCCAAATTTAAATTGGAATAAACAATGGCCATAGTATCCACCAAAGGAATGGATCACTGAAATTCAGCCTTGTCTTGGGTCCTTGGCAGTGATGGCTTTGTTTCTCTGTTTCTAGGTTTTTCTGTTACTCGGATAACATTTTGCCCATTGTGTGCTAGGGAAACATCAATGGTTTAGAGTTCCATGTACAYTAAGAGATTAAAAGTTCTAGATAAGAGTGGCAAGAATAATCAATCATTTGTCAGGTTTACTCTGTGTTCTAAGCATGTTACAATTACCATGTAATTTTTGGCATAGAGTTAATGTGTAGCTATTAGYCCCTTTGCTCAAGAGTAATGATAAATAAAGGGGATAAGTGGAAAACCCACTATTTAAATTTATATTCTAGAGGACTCTCAAGGTCATGTTCTTAATAATTTGTCTATTTTTAATTTGAAAACTTTCTCAAAGAACTTAGACAATCACAGGGAGTTTTTGGATGTACCCAGARGCAACATGTGTGCTCCTTTTCAAAAGGCACTTGTTAGAAGGAGGATGGCATAGAATTTCTGTTTTTAACTTCTAATTAATTCCATTAACATGTAGTTTTMTTCTCTGGTCAAGGTGCCTCCACAAGAGTAAGATGGGAAAAAGTAAGAAGCCAAAGTAATTCTTAYTTGCTAAGTATTGTCAGTGGCCCATAGTTACCCATATAACCAAAAGCAGACAAATAAATCCTATTCTTATAGGTCGTTTGAGTGAGTCCTAAATGTAAAAGTATACAATGAAAATTTTCACCAGAAAAAAAAATGCTCTCTTGGCTGGGAATCCCTTTAAGAGTACTTAAGTTTCAGCTAGGAAGGTGGTGGGAGTGTGCCCAGGCACTGTGTGACAGGTGGAAGTGGTACCCTTGCGTCATCAGAAAGGGGCTGGAAGCATCTGTTTCAGAAAAAGAGAAAATGAAATGGGTATTAACCATTCTTTGGGGCTAAAGTTTGAATTGAAGATRCTTTGCAGAATACCACTTGATATGCCTGTGATATAATGTAAAAAATGAATATATGATATAAATCAAGATGATCTAAGACTGGTCTGTGTTCACTGTGTGAATCCTGGTTCTAATTACCTACCAGGTACCTGAGGGGTTTGGGAATGGTTCTATCTACATCCTAACAATAAAGTTCCATTGTAAGGAAAGCTCACATTCTGRGAATTTTAAAGGGATTCCCAGCCAAGAGAGCATATTTCTGAAACTCTAAAGCCTAGAGTTACATTGTTCTAAGATTTTTCTTTTAACGAGTATACCTGAGTATACCTATGTAATTCCAGACAATTCCATGTATTTTCATGGGCCTTGGGTGCATGTTCCCACTCTTGCTCCCCGGGGGCTTTGACAGAGTCCGGATGGTGTCCCAGTGGCCTCTCATGAGCAACGGGGACAGACAAGGTCTCTGGGGACACAGAGCGATCCTCTTTCCCAGTCTTTTCCCCTGCATTGCCCTATTGGAACAGAACCATTGTTCTTCTAGTTCAACTGAAATTTGTGTGGAGATTTTTCACTCAAAAAATGCATAAGGGATCACAGCGAGTATTATAAGCAGGAGGTAGATGGCCTGCCAGAAAGCGGCCACTGCTGTACAGCTGTCTGGGGCACTCAGGCCTGGCACCGTATCCAGCCAGGTCCCCTGCATGTCAGCTCCTGATCATCCATATATCAACATTTGAACTTGCTGCCAAGAGCTCTCATCTGAGTATTAAACATTTTCTAAAATTTGAGTTCTAGGCACAAGACATGTCAGAAAGCAGTTGGAAGAAACAGTGAGAATCAAAACAAAATAAAGACGGGAAAAATATTTTATTGCTACTTAAGAGACTAAGTCTGGGTGGGGTTGTGGCTCAGCGGTAGCGTGCTCGCCTCGCATGTGCGAGACCCTGGGTTCGATCCTCAGCACCATACAAAAATAAACAAGTGAAATAAAGGTGTTGTGTCCAACTAAAACTAAAAAATAAATATTTTTTTTTAAAAAGAGAGAGACTAGTCTGAGAAATAATTTTTCTGTAAATGGGGATTCATCTTTTCTCTGTGTAGACATGTTTCTGATAAAAGAGACAAGGCCGACATACAGATATTTGCTAAAACATTCCAGAGGTAACCGGAAAAGCTTTGCAAGGGAAGTAAGAAAATTCTTCTCTAATCTAGACAAAGATTACTTGAAACGTGAAATACTGGGTTAGCAAGACATCTGGAGACTGTCATGTGGATAACAGAAATGGCTGAGGACGCACAGCAACTGGAGGTAGAGAGGGGCGGCTACCTGCAGATGCCTCAGTATCTAAGGAGCTGCTGGGTGCTAATGACAGTGGCTGTTTTTTTTAAGTGTAGAAACAGAAGGTAAGAGTGAAAACAAATAGGTAAATATTGGCACAACATAAAGAAGCGCTTTCTTGCCAGAAGAGATGTGTTRGAATAAAATGGTCTCTCTGCTGAGGCACTGAGCTCTCTTTAACTGGAAGAGCTCAAACTGACTTGAAATTTCTGGTCAGAAAACCTCCARGAGGATTCTTGGGTGAGGAAGCTGAGAGAAATGAGTGCTCCAAGATACTTCTAACACATTTCTAGAAGTTTCTGAAGGAGGGAGGTTGATAAAATTGGATGTTTTGTGGTGGCATGGAGCTAAAAGAAAACCCTTTTTTCTTTTCTTTTTTTTTGGGGGGGGGTACTGGAGATTGAACCCCAGGGTGTTAAACCACTGAGCCACATCCCCAGCCCTTTCTATATTTTACTTAGAGATACGTACGGTCTTGCTAAGTTGCTTAGGGCCTTGCTAAGTTGCTGAGGCTGGCTTTGCACTCATGATGCCCCTGCCTAGGGTTTGACAAACAAAAGAATGTGACAAGAAATGAATATACTTGCATCGTATCATTGGAACTATTTAATACAAGGAGGTAAAAGACCTTCTCGATCATAGCTCAGCCTTCCCCTACAGGAAGGCTCTGGACATGCCTTCCGATGGCTCATCTGTTGAGAACCTTTCACAAAATGCCTACAATTAGCATTTTTTTCCCCAATAGGAGGCCAGATTGTCTTTACTTTTTAAATATACTTTGTTTCCCTCTCCAAATCCATACCTATATCTTCGAGTTAAGTGGCAGATTTATATTGCAAATATGTGTTAGTCTGCAGATAAAAAAATATCATGCTGGCTGCAAATTTTTAGTACAAAGAAAARCATCAGGTATTGACAATGGTTGTCATCTTCAAACCAAGAGGTCCCTTTCTCTTGTCCCCGGTCCTTTTCTGATCTGCCACATTTGTTGATGCATTTTGTTGGGTCCACTTCTGTGGGCTCCCTGCTTTGCTGGCCTGTGTCTGGGCCACACATTCATAAGCTCTGGTCTGCTCTGGCACCTGCCTCGGGCTGCTGCAGTTAGGTGTTTAACACATGCTACAGTTTTAAGCRGGCGTAGAACTCAAAATCACTCTCCCCTTCTTGCACCTGAACGCCTGCTGCYGGCTCTGCCTGTGTCGGTGTCTCCTGAAGGCACGTGCACCCAGAAGCTGCCAAGTGCGGTACTTTCTGAGGGGGAGACCTGAAACCAAAGCACTGCCTGAGGCCCAGCCAAGTCTGGGAGGATCTGCAAGGAGGCCAAGTGCTGGGGCCCTGGGCCACCAGAGGCAGACAAGGGCGGCAAACGGTATTTCTGGCCCCCTTCCCTGAAGAATGCTGCGAGCGAGCGCCTCCCTGCTCTCGCTGTGACCCACTTTTCGGATCCTGCTGTTACGCTTGGGCTTTTCYCTGGTGCCTTGGGCTTTTCCCTGGTGCCTTGGGCTTTTCCCTGGTGCYGCAGAGCTCCCTGAGCCCCTGCTGTGGCCCCACATTCCCAGGTGCACCCACACCCTTCCCAACACCAGGCTGAGGCCCTGTGCTGCCACTCACAC